ATAAAATACCCCATAAAGGGCTCAATATCCCTATCGAATTCATTCGGAAACCCACAGCTTAAAAGCAGAATGATCTTCTATCAATAAGTCAGATTACAAGTGATGCATTGGCGAAGTAAAAAATTCTTTTCGGCACTTCAAGTGTACCAGCTCTCTACAGTTAGGTTTCCAGAACAACTGTTACCGTACATAACATTGCAGTCTCATATGATTCGTAAACAACAGTCCCAATAAATGCAACCTTTATAGGTGGCACGACATCGTGTTAAGTTCATTCGTTCTTGCACGATCTCTAGCTAGTTAAAAAAACATCCTCATACTACGATTTTGACCCCAAAACATATTCAGTATTTTGGACGATAAATTTGATGGTTCGACTTGCCTATGGTCTACGTAGAACAAATACTATAAGAGTAGATGACTTAAGAACTTGCGCGAGTATATGTCATACCTTTCATAAACATCAGTACTCCCTTATCTCCTAAAATTCTAGACTTATTTACCACTGCATGTCCTCCCTTGTCTCACTATTCTGACTAATCTACCTATTCATTCACTGTCACTACAAACACCATATAAGAACTGTCATTAATAATCCTGCAATATTATGTTCATAATTATATTTACGTCTCCTGTATTACCATTTGTAGTTAATAATGTGCTACAGAAGTGTTAACAGTGGACGTGGTCATGCCATTCATACGCACCTCCAAGCACGTCGGCAGTTGTCCCACAAAAACACTGTGAGGAATACTTCACTAACAGCAGGCTTATGCATGTCTACATGACCAAAATTCCTGAGAAATTTGGAAACACGGTTGCAGAAGATTGTGCAGGAGTATTGGTCACAGGGATGCGACGTTTTTATAATTTAAATAAACTAAATTTTTACTGGAGTAAAGATAGACTTGTCTTTGGCTTCGCATGCTCGTGTTTCGGAAAGCTTATGAGCGGTTAAGATGTCGCTTCGTCAGCTTGAACCAACGCAATCCTAATGCTGCACTGCGGTAAGCAACAGAGTTCACCAGAAAATTGGACAGTATGGAATTAAATGAGCCGCAAACAACTTTACGTATATGACATGCCCCTGTTAATCGCTTATTTTTGCGAGTGTTAGTATTACCTTATTGTTTTCGAATGCATTCATAATATAAATCTGAATGTCTAAACTGCTGTTACACTTCTTTTACCTTAACATGCTTAAGAGTGACAGTCGAAAGCAGACTTTGGTTGATTGTTTTGTGATGAAAGCACTTTGGAAGTCACTTCGAAATTACACTGATCTGTGCCATAGTTACTACATTTTTTGGCCAGAGATTACTGGTTCCTAGCATATCCTGAGTAACAGTGACTAATACGATCCGTCACTTATACCGTTGCATTGTTTAAAGACCCACTCTTACAACAATTCTAAACGAATATTTTATCTATCAGAAATAAATTCGGTCGTTCTTGAAAAGGAGCACTAGACGCCGAATCTAATCTAAGAGGGTTCAAATAAAGCCGGTAAGCTACTTTTGAAAAGGCGTAGAAGAAGAACAGAGTGCTGAATTACTCCCAGTCATACTAACAAAGCAGCACACAGTTCAAATTATCAAACAGTTTCAGAACAGCTTCAGAGTTTACTCACTGTATAATGTTAGAATTAGTTCAGAATTAGCAAGATTTTATTCAGCATTATTTTAAACTTAAGAGACTGCAATCAAATTTCATTTTTCGCTATGAACACCCTATTATCTTGGTAGAGTATTCGTGAATTAGCTCAATGATTACAGGTGTACCATAATCGTTAACTTTCAACTTAATAACTGTGAACTTCAGACTACAAATTAGCATCATGATAGCATCCATCGACAAAAATTATCCTCAACACTTTAAAATATGCAGAGTGTCGAAAAAACCTTTAAATTTCAATGGCAAACGAATTCGCGAAAACATATAACCAGTGGACGCGGAAATCTATCATGACCTTGAATCCGGACATACCGTCTTTCACCATATCAACCACATGTAACGCACCCTTCAGTTGTCACGCCTCTTTTCAACAAATACAAGCAATAACACTGCCTAGGATTATAATATGTGAACTGTCTTCACCTTCGTAAAGTGTGCTTGCTGACATTGTTCCATTACCCTTCCTTATATATATATATCTTGCGTAAGTAAAAATTGTAAATATACTCACTCTATGTTTAGATTACTTATCATATTGATGATGCCTGTAAACTGGCTTCCCTCATGTACATAAAGTGAAAATATTATTATGGATGAGAGCAGTGAAAGGTAATGAAGGGAACACAAAATAGAAGACACATTGGGTAGGTCACTTTAAAGGACCATTGAATCGGCCTCAACCCAGAACTTGACCAGAAATTCCGCTAGGCGACAGAGAAATACTGCTTAGCACGAATCCTCGGAGAGAAGCAGAAGTTTGGAAGAAGATAAACTTACTGAAAACAGAGAGAGCAGTGGGTCTACATTGATTTCCTCATGAAGCACTCACAGTGGACCCAGAGATTTTAGTGGAGATTCTCGATTGGAAGAAAGGCTACCTTATCAAACTAGTGAAGGAGAGAGATTTGAGTATATCCAGAGAATGGCGTAGAACCATGCTCTTGTACACTTCAAGTAAAATAATAAGTCACATAATCCAGGAGATACTGGAAGATTCCCTGGAGATAAGAACTCGCCAGATGCTTCAGAACCATGGCAGTCACAGCAGCAAACATTTATAGACATCATTCAGCAGCTCTGTGATGATGCTGCATGTCGAATGATTCACAAGGATAATCTTGGAGAAGCGAGAATACAGGAGTAAGACAAGACCACCCATTATCACCAACGATCTTTCTGATTGTGGTGGACTAAATCATGGTTGACTGTTGAGAATGAGGAAACTGACACACGAAGTCCTAAAAGATTTCGCAGACGATTCATGTATGTCTCGCAAACTCCAAGATTTGCTAGCAGAAGCCAACAAGTTGGCAGAGGAGGTAGGATTGACATTATTTAAGGTGAACATGTGGACGAGAGCTAATGAAGATGCACAATGTCCAAGCTGCACTTATCACAATCCACGGAATGGTGTCGTATTTTCATCTACTTACCCGGATGAAATCGTTTCAACCAACACTATCGCAGTTCAGAGTGTCCATGGGAGGATAGAAAAAGCAAGATAGGTGTTCATTACTTTGAAATAATGTTGAGATATTTCACACGAATCATAAGGAAAAGGATTAAAATTTCGGGCAATAATGTCATTTCAGGGCCTCTGCACGATTCACAGACTTGACGCGATACAGGAGGCATTTCAGCCTGCAGAAGAATTTCATTAACAGATGCTTTCGCCGATTGAACAGTGAAGATCAGATGACCAGACGCTATGGGTAATCATCGAGGAAACTTGTGTGTTAGAGGAGCGCCCAAATACCTATTCTACGATCAAAAAATATGGGGAGTGAGTAGAAATGGCTCAGATGTGGAGTGAGGACACCTCCAAGCAACGAACGATTTCGGTTCATCGAGTGGATTTTGAGTGGAAAGCTATGGGCTGGTGTCCATGGATGAAATAGATTAGATCATGTAAAGAGGCGAATGAAGCTTATGAGAAGTGGCATCAGAGAACAGAGTAAACTGGAGATAAGTTGTTGATTGCCGGCGTTCCCATCGGAACCTGGTTACCGTATAATAATAGTAAACTTTGAGTTGAAACTAGAGCACCCTCAGGGAGTTTGTAATATTTAGGAATTTAAAGTTGGGTCGGAGGAAATAAGTGATCTCAGAAGAAAACATGAAAGCATTCCATGAAGTCATTCGCTGTCGGTTTAAACCTTATAGCGAAGAGTGGAATCAGTAGTTTAAAACCGTTGGTTATGTTTATGAGAAGCGTTCACTCCTTATCATGTCTCAGGCCTTAATGAATTTAAAAAATCCTGTCTTCTCTCCTGTACATTATCATGCATTTTTATCTTCAGTGTTTTTATGCGCTTCACTCAGAACCAAAGGTTCCTGTGAGAAGTTGTGTGCTGAAAATCCAGTTGAAATGAGGTGCAGTGGCTTTGTTAGGGTAGTTCAAATATTTCCTCCAAATCAAAACATTATTCGGTTAGTCCAGGGGTAACTTATATAGCTACTTCCTTTTATCTGGTATACGCACGAAATATTAATGCCTTAACTTTGGCCATAAGTGTGTGTTTACAGATAACTGAAAATTGATTTATACCGACCACCCAAGTCAGTGAGACAACACTGTTCTCACCTTCTAAAAATAGTAGTTCAGTCATGAGAAGTGGTGTGACCCACAGTTTCTTCCTCTGGACTCTAGGCTTGTAGCATCACCCTCATGAAGATAGCTTAGATTCTTGGTGATTTCCTCAATTTTCTCCACTATGAATATGTTAGACAGTTTCCAACATCACATACACCGAACTCTCATACTTATTCTTTCTCCAAAAAGATGATGGTGAATTTTCATACATGAGGCAGACTCCTTGTACTGTGTTTCGATGAACTTTGATTAGGATCCACCCGAATAGTTATAGGGGGAATACACTGTAATGCAAAAACACATACTCAAACATAACTTAAAATTTCAGAGGTTTCTTTAAGGTCAGTCTAAATTTTTGTTGTCCTCATATATAAGTTAGAACAGGTCCGACGATGTAAATGGTTGAAATTACCTCTTTCTCTATTAGCCAGCATTCTCTTCCTACAATTTCTTTAAACAACTTCTTATTGCAGCTTGGGCACTAAGAAAACGAGTCCTTATGTGCATTCAATAAGCATATTTTGTTTTTATTAATCTTTGTCTTTTTGTTTAGTTTGCTTCAAGGTTGCATATCAGCTGTTCATTAGAAATGGCGTTTTCTTTGGATGATGACAAAAGATGTCAACTAAATGAGGATATCATTAAACAGTTGTACCTTGTTGCTTATATGCAAGGAAGCAAACTGCCCACATGCCTTGTAACCAATTCAAAATGTAGTAAAGTTCAAGTTCGGGGAGATGGGCGTACCGCCGTTGGTGAGTTATATTACACTATATGTTTCACTTGAAATGGCTAATATGAATTTGTTTTTTCTCTTTTCGGCTGAAGCTGTTAAGACGAAGTTACTTTTTGTGTTTTTCATCCCCATGGATCACTGATTACTGCGTATTGCACTTATTTGTTTTCCTAATGCTTAACTTCCTCTAAGACACTTGCGTCATTGATAGAGACTAATATATTGTTTGGGTTTATGGCATCGCAGTGATTGTTTCTTAGGAGAAGGTGTTGTTTGTGCTTGTGCACAATAATCACCGTAGTCACTGGGAAGAAACATGTCAATCACTTCTGATCAAAATAGTAAACGTCATGTTTGCACTCTGTCAACTTGTCTACAACATGTTAAACTAGCCTGAATATTAGGCTGTGAGGTAATGTGTACAGATGTCTTTTGGCCTGTCTCCCAGTACATAAGTTATTTAACTGGCGAACGGTTTTTTGCAACGTTGAGAATATTACACGTTAATGCTCACTAATGTGAAGAGTACATTCTTATTAGTTCATTATGTAAATTGCATTGTGACAGTATCATTTAGTGGATGACGTTTATATGAATACGCCTACCTGCTTCTACTATCCACAAATTAATGAGCACAGTAACTGATATAGGTATAAAACATGGGCACTGTGGTAGAGCATAACTCTATTATGAATAAGATTTGATTTCGATGAATCACAGTGTTGTACAGTAATATTAACTGATGACATTTCGAGCATAAACTATTGCTCATAATCATAACAAGTTCTTATCCATAATGGAGCACAGTAACTGTCATACAAAAATTTTCATTTACTATTAACATTAGTCTCAGTGATTTTTAAGTTCCTCACACTACTTTCACTTAGTATTAAATGCAAACACTGCAAGTATATATAAGTTGTGGAGGTAACTGATTACCAAAGTGAACATTAATTGCTTCCCTCACTATGAAGTGTGAGGTAAAAAAGTTGTGAATACGTTGTCTCATAACATCAGTGCATTGGTTTTGTTCAAACTAGTCATTCAGTTTATTTAATTGATACGACATTTATGTTAGCTGAGAACTTTATGAACAGAAATACTAACATGATTCAGTATTATTTAACACTTCGGTCCTCTGATGATATTTACAATTAAAGTTCATTGTTGCTTATGCTTAATTTTTATCATTCATCATTATTTCATTGCTACGTAACAGTGATAACGAGTCACACTCATAGTATGAGGTCTGGTGATAATTACCGGTTGTTCAAGCGCCTGACCAAGTGGTTAAACTAATGAATTACGAATCTGCAAATAAATGTTCACTTCAGAATTAAGCATTTGGTCTGCAACTCTACATCTCAAGAAGTATTTTTTTAACTTTAAATTGGAAGCCTTTAATAAGTACAAAATGTTACCTTTCTGTTACAGTTTTCGCAAGAGCCAGTTTTACACAATCTCATGAATTGAGATTTTAGCATGCACCTGGTATTATTGAAATTGCTGCACTTAAATTGTGCGCTTCTAGAGGAAATTAAGAATGAATCGGAGCGAGAATAAACCATTTATCGTAATTTGAAAAATATATTGTCGATTTAACAAAGATAAGGAGTGGATGTGTATGCGATATCACAATCGATTCTGTACACTATTATCTGAGTAGTAGTTGTAGATAAATATCCTAGAGATACTCAATTTGGTGTCCAACTTACAATTGACTGTCAAGTGATTAACATGAAGGCTTAATTCTGTTTTATATGGAATGTCATGCTAGACGATAAAAGAGCGGTCGTGCTCCTAATTTGGGAAAGAATAGTCTAATTTTATCATAAAATTACATGCGTAGTCGTTGAAAATCGTTTGATGGTTTTAATACGTTTGAGTGTTAACCACTATATTTAAGGGTGTGACATCACCCCTCGATACTGCAAAATACTAAGTTGGAGAAATTAATACATCTTACGTCAGTGTAGTTCACTAAGTTTTGCATAGGTGAAAATAAGAGCACCTTGATTTTTGTGGATCTAAAATAAATAGCTGAAATCAGGTAACTCAGGTTCTACAGTCTCAGGGCCTCATATAATCAAACACTTAAAATCATCTTTCTGGGTTGCAAGCCCACGTTTAGCAATACGGAAATACGTTCCCCATACACCAAACTTCGTGTTATATACAGGTAACTTGCAAGCGAAAACCAACAAACTGGCTGAAGAGGCAGCGAAAACAGGACTGCAGGTGAACACAGAGAAGACGGAGGTGATGAAGATAACCAACCAACAGCAACAACAACCACCAGGGCTAATCACCATCAACGAGAGAGATTTAACAGAGGTTGCCTCCCTCACTTATCTGGGAAGCATCGTTTCAACTACAGGCGGAACGGACCAAGATGTCAAAGTTGGAATTGGAAAGCCAAGATACGCCTTCATCAACCTGAAACCAGTTTGGAAACCTTCTGCACTCACCATAAAGAACAAGATTCGCATTTTCAACACCAATGTGAAGTCGGTTCTTCTATACGGGTCAGAAACGGCGTGTCACGAAAAGGATTTCCAATGGGCTGCAGACTTTCTTCAACAGCTGCTTTCGCTCCATACTGAAGATCAAATGGCGAGAAAGAATAAGCAACAAGAAACTATGGGAACAAACCAACCAAGAGCCGATCGCTCAACAAATATGTAGGAGGAAGTGGAGATGTATCGGAAATACATTGAGGAGGCCGCCGAGTGACATCGCACGACAAGCCATCCCTCGAGTGGAATCCCATTGGGAAGCGACGAATGGGTCGTCCTAGGATGACTTGGAGGAGATCGTGTGAGGAAGATATGAGAGAGTTTGGTCAATCGTGGGCCCAGATGAAGAGGACGGCAGAAAACAGGACAAAGTGGAGATGTGTTGCTGAAGTTCCACTCGGAACGCAAGGGAATAATAATGATATAACTTTATGTTGAAATTTTTCTACCCTATCACTATCCATACTGCCGATTACAGTTTTAAATATTTCAGTTTAAGTCAAACTACAGGCTACGCTAATGAAAACTTTAGCTGCCAAGCTCTTGAGTTTATGGGAGATTTTATAGTATACATGTAAGGCTCACATGTGGTCACTATGTTTACCTAATTTACCATCAGCCTAATGTCTGTACTATTTATTTCTGATATAGAACGTACATAACCAGTCTTCCGGACCTTTCATGTGCTGTTATGACACAGGTATTTGAACAAAATACATTACCGAGCTGAATACCAGCGGACGCCTGTAAACTACCTATAGAAACTAAGAAAGACGATAATGTACTGAAGATGAAACAACAAAGAGCTAAATGTTCAGATGTCATCGTTACAGGTAAAGATTCTAACATACAAGTAAGACGACTATGTCAAACATTAAGGTGCTTGTCCATTCTGCTTTCAGAATCTAGGCAGTATCGATTTAGCTATGAAAAGGTATATTAAATGTAACTGAGTATTTTAGAGAAACCGGTAATCGTGAGGTGTTTTTAAATAATTTGTTGTAACATTCAAATAAAAATTGATTTACCCCATATCTTACTGATATTGCAATATGGTAAAGTGGCTTCATGCTATTTTTTTCTCTCAATATCTTCACTTTTAGACATGAGATCTCATGTACATCAAACTGTTTTACCAGTAGTCATTAAAGCTGATAATCCGATTCCAGTCTCATGCAGTGTGTACTACTTTGAAGTAACTGTCAATGTTAAAAGTCGATCTGGGTAAGTTTGCCTGTATTTATTTTATGCTGCTTAGTTGGAGATTATTTCACTTTCTATTTTTTATTTTTTCATTATTTATTCCTAAGTGTTGTTTTCGTGAATAGTTTCCAAATATTCTATTCATAAGCATGGTATTTTAGTCTCAGTATGAACTTAAAGAGCTGACATCAACTAAAAAGATGAAAGGTCAGAACAGCTGTTTTACGTTAACTAAAAGCTCTTTAATTATGTATATGAAGAACTACATGTGTCATTTAGCCGACAATCGTCCGGTTATCCGGCTAACACAAACACCATTTAGTCGTTCGGTTGGAATTCACTTTATGTTTTTTACTCTCTAATATGCAACTCAATGATTCCTTATAAGTTTATGCGCATGATGATAACGCGTACTTAGCATGTGAGGACCAGGGATACCACCTAGTAAATGGAAGAAGTTTTGAGTCAGTAACCCATATTTTACCAATATGTTACTTTAAATTACTCTTGTACTCCAAACTGCCATAAGTTGAAAATCATGAGTTGTAGAATTTAAATTCAATGATGAGTGGTAACAAACTTTAGCCTGACGGTCTTGGTCAAGATTCCTCATAGAGGGACCAATATTTGCTTGTAAAACACCTCAAAATAAAACTTCAGTACTTCGTGTGTTTTAGGTTACTGCCTAACTAGTGTGTGGGTTTGTAACGAAGTGTAGCCTGAAGTCGACTATGTCTATGTACATAGACATAGTACATACATACATAGTACATACATCTAACAACTGAATCTCGGTAATTATTTGTAGCATATTTATTCGACTTAAGCAGTTAGACTGATTTCTTATGCTTTTTTCAATACTTCAAAATTGATGCCATCAACTAGGATATTTTTAATAGTACTGATATTGGTAAAATTTAAAAAAAATTTCTTGACGATATCTCGTATCTGAATTTCTATTTGTCACATACAGAGCATAGAATAGAGAACAGTTAAATAATGAAACGAAATGAACCAGTAACAGAAATATTCTTATACAATATATTCAAAATGACTTCCTTGTCGCCGAGAAGATATAAAAAACTCATCTGATTTAGTCTCAGAGCCATGTCTGCCATCATCTATAGTCACTTCATTGTGTGGTTCTTTGAACCTCGTTTGTGGAATTGTAGTACACAAACAGGTGCTGACTATGAATACATTCACTCTTCATAAAGTCTCAATATTATTTGGTCGCCTACATTACCGGGCTGAATACGAAGATGTGTTATCTACAGTCATGCTACCGAAACTACTGTTTCAAGAAGAATTCATTTATTAGATAAAAATCTATATTTAAATGCTTGCCTCCAGGTCTCAGAATTATCCATGTGCTATTGAGGCTATCGTTATCAGTGCACACAGAGTGAAGAGGAAGTGAAGAGCCATCAAGTAGAGGAGTTGCATTGGTAGAAGGAAGGCAAGATAATAGAGATGAAGATGGATATAAAGATGAGTGAGGATTAGAGAGGTTTCGCGTGCACATCGGATTGTGAGGGCGATTGTTACTTCCCGGTTGCCCACACCGTGGAAGTTGGTTGCGTGACCGCAGAGCCCAGGGGACAACTGCTTGAGGCCGGTACACACATCCTGTTTTCGTTTGTTCTTTTTTATTTGGTGTGTCTCAGTAGCATATTTATCACTTCTACCCTGTGACACGGCAGCAGGAAGCGCGGTCGTTGTTAATCCGGGCCCTGACCGATCTGGCATGATATTTTGTGATTTTGTTTGAGTCATGGCATTGGATTGGGTAGCTGCTTTTTGTCTAACCGCTATCCAAACAACCTTTCTGGCATGGTAGGACCTACAGGAACTTAAGTTCCAGCCAATGTAGCTCGTTGGGTCATTGCGATATGCAAGCCCGACCACCACGTCAAGGTAGCAGCTTTCGGTCGGGAGAGCAGAAGACATGAAAAGATTAGCTGTCTTCGATCATAGGTGTCTGCGTTCTATCTCCCGCGTGAAGTGGTATAATAAGGTGAGCAATATTGAGGTTAGGCGTCGAGTGCTAGGTAAGGCAGGGAAATCAACCGATGAAACTGTGAAATTACGTCGACTGAGATGGTTAGGACATGTGTTACGTATGCCTAGTCATCACCTTCCTCGACGGGCAATGTTAGCTGATAAAGGGCCAGGCTGGAAAAGAGCTAGCAGCGGTCAAACGAAAACATGGTACCAGTCAATGAAATCCACAACAGTTAGTCTAAGCCACGTAGGAAGGTGTAGACTTCCTGACTGGTTGGGGTCCTCGGGACGGTAAAAACCAATGGTTGGAAACAATTGGTGACATGGCTCAAAATCGTTCTCAATGACAGCACAGATGCATCCACTCCTTGTGACTTATGATTTCCAATGAAACTGTTTTGTTCGCCGTTATTACTATTCCTTTGTCTCACACCTCTGTTTACTGACTATATTATGCATTTCTTCTACTTTCTTGCTTTGTGTGCTACATGGAGTGTGGTGACTTGAACTGCCGCACATATGTGCAAAGTTCTATGTCGAAAACCGACCGACCGACCCATTGAGGCTATGTGGATAACGTCTACATGAGACGTGAGTTTCACTACAGTTTCAAACATCATTTCTTTTGCAAAATACCCTCGAAAGTATCATATCCAACTGCTGATATTTGCGGTATTCATTCCATTTCACCTGTTAGGGGGGATCGTGTCAATAAAGCCTTCAGGATTCACTTCTTTTCCTTGGTGGCTATCGGTTGAATCTAGGATACGTGTTTCGTGGTATTTGGGACTCGTCAACTGGATGTGCCTACCCGCCTGCCTTCTAGAGTGAGTGATGGTGTTCCCATTGATAATGGAAGCTGTCTCCCATCATTTCAAACGTCAAAGCGTTATCCATTAGACTTACAGAATGTTTTAAGATATCCACATTTCACATGTGTAAAAGCATAAAAGCAGAATATAAAAAAAACTGTAGATCAATTTACAGTATATTGTTGCGTTTTAGTACATACTAGAATAAATCATGTCCTTATTGCGGTCAGTTATCTCTTAACATTTAATTTAAACAGGTACACTGAGGTGGTAATGATTGATCGATCGATTGTTGATATCGAAATGTGGGTCATCTAGTCAACAGTTGATGCATAGTTTACGGATAATTGTGGAATTTCGCAAAAAATTTTTTCATATATGTATATTTATATGTATATATGTTACTCTTACACAAACATGCACACACCTACATACACTGTCCTATCCCCAAAATCTAAGTCGTGTGATTCTCTCTAATAGTGCATTCCATTTATCCATTCATTTACTGTGCTAATGCTTGCGTGCTATGCGTGTAACTTGTGGACAGAGAATTCCTTCATAAAATTTTATTGTTTGTATCTTCATTTGACATTTTTATGCAACGGTCATATGGTTTTGGTTGAAGAGGGAATACAAGTAGACGCAATCTTATTATTATATGAAGTATTTTCTCCTTCCATATATATATATATATATATATATATATATAATTTGATTGACGTGAAGAATAGGTTACAAAGTGTCTTCATTTTAATGAGCTATAAAATTTGTTAAGTAGTAATGGATATCTCCATTACAAAAAATTGGGCAGTTTGCACTTCACTTAATCAGAGTATTTCACATATCTTTTTGTATTTCATTCATATTGTATGCATGCCTAAAAATGTCTGACAGTACCTATTCATATTCATTATAAATCAGAAATTTTCAATAACAGTAATACTTATTTTGTTGACTATGATTTATTCCAAATAGGAATCCTACTGCATACACATATACACTGGTTGACTAGTGTATGGGAAAGTGTGAAGAGGTGATTTGTTAACCGACATGGGTATAAGTGGTCAGTTGTTTTAATACAAATGGTTTGGTGTAGTTTCCTTCCCTGACCTGCACTTTTCGACTACGAAGCCTTCATCATCAGCGCTAATTTCAAGGCGTAGTGAACTACTCCATGAGTGTAGTAATCGCTTCTTCAGATCAACCTGAATGTAACTAGCTGTCTATGTAGATTGTCTTATCCTCTTCTTTACGTGTGTTGGTATTGATTATTATTACTCTCCTGGGTTCTGAGTGAAACAGCAGCACGTCCCCATTTCACCTCGTTCTTTGTAATTTTTTTTAGCTAGCTCCACGATTGCCCATACGGTTTCATTTCCTCCTTACACGACCTCCGTGTCGTCCTCAGACAAGACATCGCCCAATTCGTTCCCCATCCGGGTTTTTTGGTCTCCTCAGCGTGTCCGATCCATCTCCATTTTCATATTTGTCGGGTATTAGTTCTTCCTATGGCTCTTTTCCAGAGTTCCTTCTTAATCTTTCCTGGCCATCTGATATTCAGTGTGGAGCGAAGGCAGATGTTGGTACAAGTCTGCTACCTTATGTCCATGGGACTTCTTTTCCACTGCTTGATTAATATCGATTTACTTATTGATTGCAGATTGATCTAAGTAACAGGCTTATAGAAATTCCCTGGTATTCTTGATGATCCCTTTGTTTAAGATTTGTACATCTTTTCAGGTGGCATGTTTGCCATGAAGAAATGATTATGATGTCTTTTGACTGTTAGCTTACTTTTCCTTCACGTTCCCCTGTGGAACATAGGGGTTCAAGCTAGAGGCTTGAAGTTTCTGTAGCAGTGTTTATTTTACAGGATGGGGTTGTTAGCCTCATGCCCAACCTTTCCTCTTCACTGGCATTATTTCTGGCTTAGCGAGGTAAACGGGTGCGTCGGCCGGGGATCAAACCCCGGACCATGTGCATGGTCGGCGAGCGTCCTAACCGCTATGCCACCGACGCACACTGACTGTTAGCTCAAGCTCTTGATATTACCTCTGAAGATGTTTTCTAGGAAGACAGTGAAAGCTTCGCAATTAAGTCACACAGCTCAGAGAGCACAACTAAACTACACACGTTCTTCTCATGACAGTTGTAAGATAACGTTATAGGACAAATATCTTTCAACTATTAGCTCGAGTGCATAAAGCGAAATAGAAGGAATATATCATAAACTAAATGTTTACTATTCATAATCCCCCTCAACGATTTCATCCATCAATTAGTTCAAACAAAGCTTTCGAGATCTACTGCGTATAACTGGAATGTTATTTGTTAGACTGACAGCTACCTTGCTAGGCATTGTATCCTACTTAATGTGTCAGACTTGATGTTTTCCAGTACTTTTCGCTTGTTGATAAGATCTTCTGAGATAACTTCAGTCTTCAAGGACTGCTGATTCAAATGTCGCTGCAACTTACTTTCATCTATGTAGTTTAGGCAGTTGAATTTCAACTTCGAAGGCACTTCACCTGTTGAAATTTGGTTGACCAAAGACAGCATACTTACTGAAAAGAAGAAGATTGGTGAAAGCAGTTATTTGGACAAATTATCTTTGACATCAATGAGATAACAGACCGTGCATTGATTTTCCAGTTTGCAAATAGTATGATCAATCTGGCATTAGACATTTTTGCTCGATGTCTGTTGCTGTTGTTGTAGGTTTTTTTTAGAGTTGTAACTTTCCTCGAGCATTTCTTATTCAATGGCTTTTTCATGGATAAGCGAAGCATCATTATTTCTCTGAAGACATTACACTATATACTGCTGAGATGAAATCTGTATAATTAGCACACACTTAACTATCACGCATACAACAGTTTTAATACATCGCTTAATATGCATGGTTTTTGAATTACATGTTATGTACATCGTTTATATACACCTGTTCAAAGTTTCACGTATATATTCAATTACTAGGACTGCTTTTATGTTTAAAAACAAGATTCTCTCCCCATCTTCAACTGGTAGAGATGTTGGATCTAGGCTAACTGAACATGTCATTGTCTTGACACGTTGGTTAGGCGGAAGGCAATCCTCCAACGTCATATGAAAGAAATTACTGGCAATTGCAGGCAGTGCTTCGGCGTTTGAAGCAATGAATACTGGGTTCCAATCTCAGTGCTAACATGATCACTCACTCCATGGGCAAGGGGGGATTGGGCAGGCACACACACACACACCTAAGGCTTCCTAAATACAATGAAACGCATGTCTTGGATTCCAATGCTACCTAATATCAACCAATTAAAAATCATTGTCAGGGTGGACAGTTTGTCATCCATTGACTTCTTTAAGGAAATGATATACACACAAATTTGCGTTTAATGAGTAATTTTCAAAATTCCTATGTCAGAGGGAATATGAGTACAACCCAGAATTTTTTCTCTTACTCTCTCTCTCTCTTGAAATTTACTACCTATGCAATCATTTAGTCACAATTTGTTTTGTTTTATTCCGTTATCTTTTTTTCTGGTCTTCATTTGTTTTATTCTCTAGTCTACTTGCTTTGGGTGTGTGTTCTTCACGTTCATCAACAAATGAGTGGCCAGGTAAGCTGGTTTATTTATTGATTCAACTGTTTTTCCTCTTTTTTTCTGTCTTGTATATTTTCCAGTATTGATTTTCAGTCATTGATTATGGGAACAAAGTAGTATATATACATATATATGAGTCTGTTGATGTTCTTTGTTCCTTTTCTTCTGGAATCTTCACTTGTCATTTAGATTTCTAATTTTCAAAAAAATACAAACTAAATAAACAAATTCTGGTCATCCTGATGAACAGATTGCCTATCTCTTTTTCTCAGATTAAGAAACAATGGAGAAGTAATAAAGTAGGAATAATACAGAAATAAGTTTTTTCTCGCGGAATCTTAATTTTAATGTCACTGAATTAGAAAACTGTACTAATATGACATGCCCGCATACATACACACATAACACCTACGTAGAATTGAAGAGAAAGGATGGAAGTAGTTCTGAAGCATGTTTGTGCCTGTAATTAGTGAACTAGATGTCCTGAGCCTATTGTGGTCTGATCCAATGTAATATATCTTAGTTATAATAATAAGTGTAGGCAGTCTTTCGTGTACAACTGATGACACTTTCATGTGTTAGTCAGAAATGTATGCTCCAGTGACTCTGGAAGCTCTACTATGTAAAATGATTGTTTCTTGGGTTTTCACTATGTTGAAAGTATCTATCAACTGTCACTCAGCATTATAATAGCATTTTATTGCTTACCGAATGATATGGGATGTCATTGAATTGTTTCCCTTCGATGATGATGAGTGTCCCAAATATACTGCGTTTTCATTATTGGGAAGGAGTTGGGAAAGTCCTCTCTCTCTCTCAGAAATTGAACACACTGGTTTCTATTGGAGCTTTTCATTTCCAGTGATGAGACTGTTTGCATTATAAAGTGTGTGATTAACCCTCTTTGGTTCTACAATCATACGAAACTAATGTTTTTGCCTTTTGGGTACTTTAAAATGAAATCAGCATGTACGATGAATACATCAGAGGGTTAGTTATCACGTTAATTCTCAAATATTCAGCTGTCGGGCAGTTTTCCTACTGGTTGCTGCTTTCATATCTTTCTTTTCACGTTCTCTTACTAACTATTCTCTATACTACCTTCAACTTCCGCTTTCTACAGTCTGTCTTTGCCTAGAGTGAAGCAAATTACTCTCTAGTAAGCCACATATATATAGTAGGTGCTGGATAATTGTGAACCAACTATATCCGTGTGCGTGATAAGTTCAGCAAATATAAAGTGAACTAGTTTCTTATACAACGATTTTTACAGAAGTATAAATTCAGGACAATTAATATTGACAGGAGTTTAATGGCACTGGCAATGATAATGGCTATTTATTGCCTTCGCCCAACATTTACTAGATACACTATCCCTGAATGTTCATGATTGAGTAGTACGAAAAACGGCTCTACAGTTGTCAAGGCTTCTGAAGTTGTTGTTTTTGTTGTTACTCAGAGACCACTTGCACTTCCTGCATTTAGCAGCGAGCCATATCTGTTGTCTGAAAGCTAGTGATGCATGCAACCTTGGTACCGAAACCTCTCGGCAGATGGAGTGGCGTTGCAACCCGTGAACTTGATAGCTGCTGGTTGAAAGTTGACCGCCTAATCCAATGAACCATCGTTTCACAATGCCTCTACTATTTTTATGTGAACATTTGAATGAATTCGTTTTGAAGAAATTTTTGTTTCTGAATTGATGTCGGCTAGAGATGCTTGAAATTATTGGACTGTTGGACTTCAACCTGTTGTCTTTAACGCTTAATTCCTCATGACGCTAAGGGTGTATGCTGTTCAATTAGCTCAAACTAGGAAAAAAGAGTTTTTTAGTGCCTTTCAGCTTACAGTGTTCCTTAATTGGTGTCGCTTGGGACGAGAATTACTTTAATTATTTCGGCAGGTGTATTCTGAATTTTCTATGAATATCACAATTGAAAACTTAGCCGCATAGAGATTCGGCTGATAAATAGTACGACTGAGTTATGCCAAGATTTTCTCTATTGCCTTTTTTTCCCGTTCTATATTGCTTGAATAGGCATGGAGTTCACTTCATACGGTTATCATAGTAATAGTGGGACAATTTATCATAATTCAAAGGAGTTACCAGTTTCAGCGCCTAGTTTCAGTGAAACAGATATCATTGGTTGCGGTGTTAACTTTGTTAATAATTCAGTATTTTTCACAAAAAACGGTGTCTTTATAGGACCTGTTAATGCTGGTAAAAAGTTGGTAAGTTTTGTTAATGATAATGTTTATGAAATTTTGTAATTGATTCAATAACTTGTTCCAAGACCGCCTGCTAATCGATTCTTAAATTCTAATTCAATAATTCTGAACATTCAATTGGTATTCGAAGAACTGAGCTAATTCTAGTGCCAGAGAGGTATAGCAGCTTATTAGTGTGACTGGCCTTTGTGCTGTTCAGCACTTCGTTTTTATCTCACTTCAGTGTTATATGACTTGACCATTGAAAGCAGATGGTCATAAATGTCTTCGTACTATTGGTTACTTGTGGTAGAACCACAATGTGAGTAATTTTAAAATTAAGAGAACAGATCTGAATGAAGAAGGCCAAAATACTGGGTGTGATTGTCAATTTTAAGTGACTTAGATGGCTAAAACACTTATTACATAATATGGTCTGCTACCTCTCTAGAAGAGTTATTGCTGGGTGAAGTGAAAATAAGGTTGTACCAAGATTTGACGTTATTCAAATGAAAACATGCCACCAGTTGTTGACTGTTCGTCTGATCCATTCAGAGAGAGGTATAAGTTAAATGACCAAGCCCCATAGGATTGTAGAAATTGCTAGTTTTGTCTTATTTTAGTGCAAAACAGTTAGAACTGATTGTATAAAATAAAGACAGTCAATGCTAACTTTCAACAGCTAAGGTTGTTTTACACCACGTTGTACAATTGAAAATGAAATTATTTAAGGCAGCACGAACTTTTTCCTAACACATTTAAAAGAACTCGTCCTAAGTATTTGTTAAAATATTGTCTCCAAGGTCGATGTTAGGCCAATTAATATGACCCCACTCATACGTATAACCTGCTTCAACTAAGCGTGAGTATTATCTGGTGTCCTCGATGCATCGTCAAATGAACACACTCTCATAACATCTGTCAGGTTAAGCATATTCACTATTTTCACTTGGCGTAGAAGGAGTTCTTACTTAAGCGAAGGGATGAATGCAAATGTTTTACACTCATCATTAGATTTGTGGATACAAAAGGTTCTTCTAAGGGAGGGGGGAGTTAGACGACTCTGACTATACACCGATTTTGCACATATTCCCAAGAATACTAAATCAGTATGTGGCGTAGGAATTTGTTTTGGACATTGGCAACATGCTAACACAACCTTTGGTGCTGTTTTGCTGCGTACCCGCTGTTAGCTAGAAGAGCTGAAGTGTATCTTTGGTTTATCCAACATAAACTTTTAAGAAAATATATCCATGTGAAGGAAACGAAATGAGTGCACATTGGTTTTGTTTCATTACTCTGTCAATGTGGCAAGTAATGTTGTGTATGAAATGTGGCAGTTAGTCCTCAGTGAACTCGTCGTTGCATGTCTTCCATTTCTGACAACAGTTATAACATCTCGAATATTCTTTGTCTGTCAAACTTCATCCATCCTACTAATAGTTGAGTGCATAAGCCGGGTTATGTTGTTACTTCTGACAAGAAAGTGCATACAACTATTGTCGGTGATATGGCTAAATTGTCTTCATCGACGGTACCTGTTGGGCAACGCGTCCTCTTCCCGAATCTTTCTCTACAAATTTCAATATTAGCAAATGAGTATTTAGCAGTAGGGTTAACATTTGCGTTTAATATGTAACACTAACAACAATACTTGTCAATATTCTTTCTATATATTTCAGCCACATCCAGTATACCCATGTATTGCTTTTGCCTGTCCTAATTGTCATGTCAGCATTAATTTCGGTCATCATAAATTTGCATTCGATATTGGTCAGTATATTAGTCGTGAACGTGCTGTAGCAATAAGTACAGCAGTTGATCGTAAATGTAACGATCAATTAGCATATGTTACAATGAGAAAGTGAGTTTTGTTGGTGTACAATTGATTTTTATTTTGTTTATGTAATATGTGTTTATTGAAGATGAAATTAAAATCTGAGTCTTAACACAAGACAGGAACCAGCAGTCTCCGAATCATTTGCTTATCTCTTCTCTCTCTCTCCTTCTCTTTCTCTTATCGGTTCTCGGTGTGAAGCCTTCTTTTACTTTCATGGGTGTATACATGGCATTCGATAAAATTCAGGGTATTTTTTTAGTGTGAAGGCGTCTGCTTTTTGTCTTTAAAAAAAGTTTATTCGAAAGTATAGAATAGTTGAAATAACCATTTTTTGCGCAAACGCTATTGCCTCAACCAAGCTGTTAAACAAAACTGGTACGTGTGTTGTGTTTGTCATGTGTGCGTCGGTGGCAGAGCGGTTAGGATGCTCGCCGACCATGAACATGGTCCGGGGTTCGATCCCAGGCCACCGACACACTCCCTCACCTCGCTAAGCCAATAATAAAGCTGGTAAAGAGGGGAGATTGGGCATGAGGCTAGCAACCCCATCCTGTAAAAATAAACGGTGCTACAGAAACTTCAAGCTGGCTCTAGCTTGAAGCCCTATGTTCCACTGGGAACGTGAAGGAATAAAAAAGAAGGTGTTTGTCGTGTGAAATGTGAATGCCTCCGTATTGTTAACACGATTGTCTAGGCTTTTTTTTATAGTGCAAGCAGTTTTAATCAGGCTCTATCTTCACTACAGTCTCAAACATTATTTGACATGGGCTGGGGCACATTTACATGTCTTTAAAGGTCAAAATAAGCGAGTGTTGTAAAGTTGTAAAAATCCGTTGATAACTATTACAGAGTATTTTCAGAGGTTTGGCTGCAGGCTAAATCTTCCTTACTTTACTTTACTTCGGCTTCATGAACATCTCGAATCATCGCTGCCCAGGCGCGGCGATCTGATGCAAGGTTTTGCGACAGGGTTATCCAATTCTTGTTACACAGACGGAGTCCGTAGACGGTTTGTAGCCCCAGGCACTCCATATCAGCCTTGACTGTACCAAGCCATGTAAGAGAGTTCATGAAGTTTCAGGGAATTTGGTACGTGTGATGTCCCCAGAATCGCTCGGCCTGTTGTTTGAGAGTGCGGCTCTAGCCTTTACACAACCAAGTGTGACCTACAAGGCAGTAGGAGTGGAGTAGGGATTCCACTATCCATTGGCAGCCGGTGACCGGAGTTTGGTTCATACGCCTTTTTGAATGGGGCCAGACATCCAGGACATCCAACAAGCCCTTTGTCCATACGTCTGCCGGTGAGCTCCAGTGAGCTTCATACGCCAGTCGTTGGAGGTTTGGAATCAGGGTTTAGCCATCTCCCCTAGACTGTCATCCAATGGACAGTCAACCCGGTGAAGAGCGCCGGGCATCCGCTTTCGCCCTCTCACTTTGGTGAGAAACACCTCCGCCACGTGAAGGCAGTGAGTAGGACTTCCTCAGGAGAGGCTATGTAAGACGCCCGGTCATATGGGAGCATTTCAAGAGGTGTGCGGAGAGGTGGCCAACCCGCAGGCAAGGCACCCACCCCCGACCATTCTGGTGTGTATACACTCACATAGCCGTCCAAATAAGACCTGAATATTGTCTTCAGCATGGTGACAGTATTAGCAATCACAATCAAGTACATGGATTGAGAATGCAAGATCATTTTTTGAAGATGTTCTCGCTTAAATGATTTCTCTTCATCATCAAGTGATACATATATACAGGCGATAATTTTCTTCAGTGTGTGTGTAGTGAATTGCTTTCAAACATCCATTTTCACACTAACATTTTTTTATATTTTACTCGTGAATAAATACGTGTCTGCTTGAGTAGGCAAATATTTACTTGCTAATTAACATCCAGGGTAGCGATGATTATTTCACTGCATCATTATGGCATACTAAATAGTAATAATATTAATAATAATAATAATCTGAAATTCTTCAATGTAATTATATTTATTTTTGAATATTATTTTATCTTGAGAAGAAAAGAGAAAAAGAGAACGAAGTTGTACTTCAGTCAGTTTTGTATGTTCAATCTCTCTCTCTTACACACACACACACACACGCGTGCATATTTGATTAATTAAAGATAAGAAAACAACACCTTGTTTTTCTTGTATGCAATATTAACTATTTTTTTCTATCAAGCTGGTGTCTGAATTACTCTCTCAGCAGCTGAATTGTTAGTTTGTTTGCTTGTATGTATGAATGTGTGTGTGTGTGATCACGCGCACATATACAGTTCGTTATTTTCGTATTAGTGTAATAGTTAACATATTATGAATTTTTAATTTAAAACTGAGAATCTCCCTTTGTGAGGGTGCTTCGTGGTGGTGGTGGTGGTGGTGGTGATGGCGGTAACAGTGGGGGTTAACTCATCTTCAGTCGGTGTTGACATTTTGTATCGAATGTGTGTGCTATACGCAGATAAGTGCAGTGAAACTACATGTAACAAAGAGAAAATTTAAGAATCTGGATGATGACTATGCGTGAATTTATCTGCACCATGGGGAACGATTTTTAAGCCGACAGTCCCACCAACAGTCTCCAACCATTAATTCTTAACACCTTGAGGTCTGAAGTTAAACTGCTGATAATTTCTCTACGTGACTTAAGCTAACAGTCAAAAACTTCGTGGATCGGTACCCCTAAATCCACTCCAAGTTAGTCCCTTTTGCACCTGAAACTGCTTGTCGTGGAAGTGAGTTGCCGGGTATCTGTGACATGTGTCTCGGTCATCCGAATCGATACAACCTCATTGATTGAGTTTCCCTTCTTAGCTAAAGCTTTCTTCACCTAACCTCAATATTACTCACCATATTTGTACCTAATGGAATATAAGTTTTTCACCTTCAACGTCCAGGTCCGGTGGATGTAAAGTAGGGCGGAGTGAACTACTGCACAGTAAATTCTTACCTTGATGAATAGGCGAATATCACGGCGTAGGGACAACGGTGACGCAGGTCGATAAAATGCCAACCGCGCATTTTGTATGATTATTCAGGTGCATTCAGTGAGAGCCAGTACAACTTGTTAAATAAATGGAGAAGTTAACATGCCCCACCACTTCACTCCCTACACAGACATCCTAAATTTGACAGCTTATCTATTGCATACCCAACATACTGCGATTTTCTCACCTCTGGGTGATTCTGGTTATTGACAAATCCTACCTTGGAATTGTTTATCAGCTAACCGCCCTATTTGGATCATTTAGAATCAGATTGAAAGTTTCACATTTATAAGATTTATTTATCTACCTTCTATCTAAAAAGAAGTAATTCGATATCCTGGCAGTAAAACCCCTGTCATTTTGGTTAATGATTCTGTAATGCTTATTCTCCATTCGTTCCATGCGTTAAATAGCATCTGTGTTATCCGAATACAGTCGAGATATCTGGAAGCACTTAACAATTTTCTATTTGACTTTATGCTCATATTTCCTAATGGTCACATAAAAGTGCATATATATATACATATATATATATATATATATATATGTATATATATATATATATAAATTATATCAAAGTTCATTCATGTACACACTTTATCCTTTTGCCTAGATTAATACATGTTTGTACATGCCTACTATGGGATAATCTCTACTCCTTTTAGCTTTTTTATCAATTAGATTTGTTTCTGATGTGTTCATGATAAACATTATCAGAAGTGTGGAGCTGTAAATATTAAATCGATAGCTAATTCAGTTTGTCAGGTTTAAGTCGACTTATAACTTATCTACTACCCAGCTTTGCATCACTTGAAAGTGCCACATTAGCCCTCATACAATAGAGGTGGCTTACAGCCTTGGGCATGAATGTGAGTTATGCAGTTAAATTTCGTACAGAAATCCACTTATGCAAGTTGTCACCTATTAGAAGGGGATAGTTTATGGGCCATACTTATTGTTTGAAGACAAATGATACTATTCACTGGGTGGAGCGAGTTTTCAACTCGGACTCTATTACAAGGTATCTGAGTGCTTAAGCCAATGAAATATATCACAACTTCTTGTAGGATTGTGGCAATACTGTTAAGAATCGTTCATAATGGCGCAGATGGATTCATTTTTTCATCTCTGAAAACTTACATCATAATCTTCATAAAATTGTCCCCCCCCCATCTGTCTGTGTCTTTCCATTCCTTTTTAATATAGTGCAGTCGTGATATTTTGGTATCATTTGTTGCTATCCACTTTGTTTTTGTGTGTCTACTTTAAGTGTTGTGACATTAAGTGACACAATAAATCTTCAGTTTTTCCGTTACCCTGCTAAATTTCTGAAAGGCGTATTTGATTGTTTTCTATAGTTTGGTTTGTAAGGGTTCGTTTTGTTTTTACGAGTTGATCACGGATTGATATCAGTTAGAGAATCATTGAAAACCAGGGAGTACTGGACAACTGTTTCATCCTAGTTTGGGAATCATCAGTAGTACACATCCCCTGGGGTTCGAACCCAGGACCTCGACGACATTGGTTGTGGTCGCTCTAAATCACGAATTGGTAGAAGTTAGGATTCATGAGCCATTGAATCGGGTCCCGGTGGCTGAATGGTATGCGAGCTTGCCTTGTAACCGGAAGGTCCTGGGTTCGAATCCCAGTGGGTGCGTACTGCCGATGATTCCCAAACTAGTATTTGATTGTCACAAATATTTAAGGGTTGGTAATTAAAAGTGAAATATGAAAATCTAGGTCGCGGGGTGATTCGAAGCAGCGGTTATTACCTGCTTAGCAAGTTGCGATTCACGAATTAAGAACACATAAGTCAACGAAGAGATCACTTTTCGTTTATATGTAAAATGTTAATTGACATCGAAGTTCGGAGGTTATTTTCAGTTAGTATCAAATCAAATCCCTGCAAACTAACGCAAATGTAAATCAAACTGTATGCGAAATTAACAGTGTGTGAAATACAGTAAATAATACATGATCAAAGGAGTTGATAACTAATCAGTTAAGTAGCGAAAATAATTGTTAGGAGATAAGAC